GAACTCACAGAGATCCGCCTGCCTCTGCCTCCCGAGTGCTGGGATTAAAGGCATGCGCCACCACCGCCCGGCTCAAATTTTTATTTTATTTTGAGACAGAATCTCATTATGTAGCCCTGGTTAGACTGAAACTCATTATGTTTACCAGAACAGCCTTGAACTTACAAAGATCCCCCTGACTCTGCCTCCAAAGTGCTGGCATTAAAGGCATATGCCACCAAAATGTCTAAAATTTCAAAATTTTAGAAACACCCTAAGTGTTCATTAAAATATCTGGCCAGGCTGTGGTGGCGCACACCTTTAATCCCAGGACTAGGGAAGCAGAGCCAGGCAGATTTCTGTGAGTTCGAGGCCAGCCTGGTCTACAGCATGAGATACAGGACAGGCACCAAAACTACATGGAGAAACCCTGTCTGGGGGGGGAGGGGAGAATCTGGAAACCCACCAAGGCAGGGGCAGGCAGATCTCTGTGAATTCAAGGCCAGTCTGGTCTACAGAGCAAGTTCCATGACAGCCAGGGCTACACAGAGAAACCCTGTCTTGAAGGAAAGAAAAAGAAAGAAAGAAAAAGATCTGGGAATCAGATGGTGCACCATAGTCCCAGATACTCAAGAGGCTAAGATAGAAAAACAGTAAACTGGACAACCCGTGTTAACTAGTGAGAAAGACCCGGTCTTTAAAAAGAAAAGAAAAAGCCAGGCAGCACACACTTGCGATCCTAGCACTAGGGAGATAAGCTAAGGGAAGGCAGAAGGATAGGGATCCTAGATTACTCGAGATTCCAACTCATAAGAGGTAGGAGCTGGACTTGCTGTCATATGCCTTTATCTCAGCAGAGACAAGTACATGTCTGTGAGTTCAAGGCCAGCCTGGTCTACATATTGAGTTCAAGGATAGCTAGGTTACAATAGTGAGACTCTATCTTTAAAAAAAAAATAATAAGACAGGTGTGGTAGTTAGAATAAGAATAACCCCAGGCCGGGCTGCTGCACATGCTGGAGTCCCCCGAGTCTCTCCATGCCAAGGTGGTGAAGCTATGGCAGTTCTGCAGGCTCATCATGCCAAGAAAGAAGCCGCCCAGAAGGTGGGCGCTGCTGCTGCTGCTGCCGCTGCTGCCTTTGAGACAAGGAAAAAGATGCAAAAGCCAAATAACCCCTCCTGGCATTCAGTAAGGTCTGAAGACTTCCTAGTTCGTCTGTGGACCTCCACAACAAGAACCACAAGTTACAAATTCAATAGGTCATTATGAGGCACCTAGAATTTTTCAATTATAGGAATATATTCTATAGGTTCTGCTATGGCCTGGGTGGTAACTTTTTTTTTCTATTGAGGGGTTCTGAATTTTTTCCCCTCCTAGAAATTGGTTTTGATGTACCCAAGACTTAAGTTTCTCAATAAAGAAAAGAAAATATTAAAAAAAAAAAAAAAAAAAAAAAAAAAAAAGCCGGGCAGTGGTGGTGGTGGTGCACCCCTTTAATCCCAGCACTCGGGAGGTAGAGGCAGGGGGATCTCTGTGAGTTCAAGGCCAGCCTGGGCTACAAAGCGAGGGCCAGGACAGGTGCAAAGCTACACAGAGAAACCCTGTCTCAAAACGCCCCCCCCAAAAAAAAAAAAGACTGAGTCACTCTCAGACAAGCCAAGAGGCTCAAGGAAGAAGCAGAGCTTAGTCGAAGAGAATGCAGAAGCGGAGGCCAGCTGAGCTGCCTGGAAAGGACACTCTCCAACCTGCTGAGTCTGTAGGCTGTGCACTGTGCTCCAGGTTTCCAGCTTCGGTGAGCTGTCACTTGCGCTAGAGGAACACAGCTGTCTTTAAGTCATTTCTGCTCCCGTGACTAACCCCTCACTCATATTCCTGTAGTTAACCCCAGTAAAACTCATTAGTTCACCAAGTCGGACTTTGGTGGGATCCATACTTTGATCTGTTGTGGGCCCCCTGTCTGGGTCGAGTAGACATGTGTGTTTCATCTTCCCAGGAAAAGTCTGTCACACAACACCAAGACACAGGCATGAAGCTCACAGCTATAATTCCAACATTTGTGAAGCTGAGGCAGGAGGATTTCCTTCAGTATGAAGACAGGCTAGGCTACAGAGTGAGGCCCTAGTTTTTAAAGTCCCTTTGGCTTGCTTGTTGGATTTTTTTTTTTTTCTAGATTCTTCCCAACTCCTTTTAGACTGAGACTTGCTATGTTGCCCAGGCAGGTTCATCAGCTAGACTTGCCGGTTCCGCTTCCACTTCCTGAACAACCGCAGCTGCAGTCCTGAGCTCTGCCACGTTTGGGAGAGGGACATACGTGGTGGACTGTTTTGTTAGAGATAGTAGCTTGCTTGGTAGCCCAGGCACGCCTCTACCTGGAGGTCCTCCAGATTGCTGGGTCACAAGTATGCCTCCCACCACACCTGGCCTGCATAAATTATCATTACACTGGGCATAGCTTGCCTAATCCAAGAAGCAAATTGACTCTTACAAATGCTTTCAGGAGGCTGGAGAGATGGCTCAGAGGTTAAGAGCACCGACTGCTCTTCCAGATGGTCCTGAGTTCAATTCCCAGCACCTACATGGCGGCTCACAACCATCCGTAATGAGACCCTCTTCTGTGTACATAATAAATAAATAAATCTTTTAAAAAAATGTTTTCAGTAGATTGGTTGGCAGAGGCACAATGACCAAAGCGTTGGTCACAATGACACCAGCCTTGGCTTCAGGACAAGTTTGAGGATAGCCTGGACAAGTTTGAGGATAGCCTGTGCTAGGTGAACTGTGTCATGGACTGGAGATGACTAGGCAAGGAAGCATACTGGCAGCACAAGCCTGACAGCTGTCCTCGGACCTCTGTAAGTGTGCTGTGACACTCTCGAACTCTTGAGTACACACACACACACACACACACACACACACTAATGGTAATAATATAATTTTTAAAGAAACACTGTTTCAAAACAAGATGTTGTAGGTAATAGTACAGGCGGTGTCACAGAGGTCAGGTGATTCATTCCGCCATGAGTAGGTTAGGATGCATCTGAGGAGATGACATTCCGACTGGGCGTTTACCAAGTGGATGAGGCATTTGTCAGCCCAAACATGGTAAGAGCCCAGAGAACCAAGCCTGACCGAGAGCCTGCTCTGTGAAGACGCTTCAGCTTGTGTCCTGCTAGGGGGCACCAGAGGAAAGAGAGTCACATTCTCTTCTTAGGAGCCTTCACTGGCCCAAGACACACCGTGGAGAGCCAGTGAGGAGCAGGAGCAGGCAGTGAGGAGTGAAGCAGGCAGGAGGCCGCAGCCCAGGACTCCTCAGACTGCAGCATGTCTAAGGAATCCCTTCCTCCTGGATCCAGGGAAGCAAAGGGGCCTTGGGTTTTACTGAGCCGCATGCAGAGGCCCTGCGATATTGGACAGCCCCCCACCTCACATCGTCAAAACAATAGCAAGCCAGGTGTGTGGCTCAGCAGGAGGCTGAAGAGGAAGCACCATGAGTTCACGGCCAGTTTAAGCTTTAAAGTGAGTGCTAGCCAGTCTGGGCTACAGAGTAAGAGCCTTGAAAATCCTAAAATTGAGAGAGAGAGAGAGAGAGAGAGAGAGAGAGAGAGAGAGAGAGAGAGAACGTCATAGATCTATTGTGAGTATAAGTAGTTTTTCCATCTGTAAATCACCTGGAACATAATAAGTATAAATAAGTGTTC